ACACTCTTGTAGGACACTCTTGCGGGACACTCTTGTAGGACACTCTTATAGGACACTCTTGTGGGACACTCTTGTGGGACACTCTTGTAGGACACTCTTGTAGGACACTCTTGTGGGTCACTCTTGTAGGACACTCTTGTGGGACACTCTTGTACGACAGAGGGACACTCTGTGGGACACTCTTGTCGGACACTCTTGTGGGACACTCTTGTAGGACACTCTTGTGGGACAGTCTTGTAGGACACTCTTGTGGGACACTCTTGTGGGACACTCTTGTAGGACACTCTTGTGGGATACTCCTGTAGGACACTCTTAAGGGACACTCTTGTGAGACACTCTAGTGGGACACTGTTGCGGGACACTCTTGTGGGACACTCTTGTGAGACACTCTTCCAGCTCCCCAGATACTCTGCGTACTAAAGTTGTACTACAAGGTCGCCAGTCCTCAGCTTCCAGCTCCACAGTTTGCTCCGCGTACTGAAGTTGTACTGCAAAGTCGCCAGTTCTCAGCTTCCAGCTCCACAGATTGCTCCGGGTACTAAAGTTGTACTACCAAGTCACCAGTTCTCATCTTCCAGCTCCCCAGATACTCCGCGTACTGAAGTTGTACCACAAAGTCGCCAGTGCTCGCCTGCATTTCGCGCGCTCGACACGCACGATCTCCGCAGAGGGTTGCGCGGGCACCGGACAAATCGCACTCTTGCCTGCATTTCGCGCGCTCGACACGCACGATCTCCGCAGAGGGTTGCGCGCGCATGGGACAAATCGCGCTCTCGCCTGCATTTCCCGCACTCGACACGCACGATCTCCGCAGAGGGTTGCGCGCGCATGGGACAAATCGCACTCTCGCCTGCATTTCGCACACTCGACACGCACGATCTCCGCAGACGGTTGCGCGTCAAGTCTCCAAAACGAGCGTTTCGTACGAGACTTCCTCAAAAACTCACACATCAAAGTCTGCAAAACGAGCGTTTCGTACGAGGAAACACCCATCGGAGCACACACATCACGCAGCCCTGCCAAGCAGTTTCGCGATTCCAGCCCCTCCAAACAACATACGCTCACACGCCAATCCCAATGTGACTGCGACATTCACCTCTACCACAACTCACAACCTCACGATTCCCTGCGCCTGCCACGAATCTTTCTGCGTCCACACGTTTAACGCGCACAAAGTACTGCGCCTGCCACGAAATGTCACCTCCGTCACACCTCGCAACCTCACGATTCCCTGCCCCTGCTACGAAAATCGCACTTCCACACCTCAAAGCCCGCACAAAGTCCTGCGCCTGCCACGAAAAGTGACAATATCATCTCACGTGAGCTTCAACAAAATTTGCACCACACCACACGTTTGGAATGATTTCGACCCGTTCTGAGCACACTCCCATCCACCAAAATCACCATTTCAGCTGAGACTTGTCACGAAAACCGAGCTTCGCTGCCACACCCTGCAACGCAAATCCCAATGGCACGGCCACATCCAACACCCCAAAAACACGACTCCCCAAACGCTAATCCCAATGGAGCTGCGCAGCAAACTGCGGATCTCACAAAACGCTGCGCCTGTGCAGCAGAATGCATCACGTTTCTTGCGCGACATGTCATTGTCATGCAAATCACAATGGAATAGCGGCGCAAACTAACATATGACGCATCCATGCAAAGTCACTTGCAAAAGCTTCCCCCAATGGCAGCAAATTTGAGACGCGACGACGACGACAAACGACGAGAGACGACGAGAGACGACGACAGACGACGACACGACGCAAACCATGCAAACACAGCTCCAACCCCCAGACCCCCAACTATAAACGGGAACCCTTCGCTACGCATTCGGGAAAAAGTACTCGTTTATAGTGACTGATAGGATTCATTTCAGGCAAGGATATTTCGCGGGTCTTCCCTGCTTTTGAGGAGCCTTTGAGGTTACAGAAAGCAGACATGCCAAAGAAAATACTTGAAGGCATCTAAATCAGTTCTTCTCACGGCCACATCATAAAATGGAAATGAACGGTGTTCCCCATTCCTGATTCAATCGGAAGACAAAGCCACGTACACTTGTCTTTCGATTTTTGGATGTTCATGTGGATGTTCTCCGTCCTGGTCATTGTCTTGCAAAGAGAGCCACAACCATCGATCGAGACTTTGGGACAACAACCATGTCACTTGTAACATCTTGTAACAGTTAACGGTATCACTATCACGTCAATTGACACTAATCATCTAACAGGTGAACGGTGGATGAGTTTGTAACAACACTTTGTTGTCATGACCATGATGGACCATGATCATTGACAGTGTCTTCTGACCCTTCTTCGTCTTCCACTCGAAGGATCAGCGCCGCGGCGCTCCTCGAGCTGCTCAGCGACAGCGACGGTGAGGAGGACAGCGACTTGGCCCGGTGATCGACGTGAGGACCGTCCGAGGGGTGTGCACGATCGAAAGATCGGAATTCATGGGGAATCCACAGGGGAGTTCGTTTGAAGAACCATGGTAAAAAGATGCTGGTTTGGATGGTCATTGGCTTGGTTTAACAGCAAACTGACGCACTGCACTTCACAAATAGCCATGCGGAAAGAAAGGCCAGTTGGCATGTTAGAAGTGCGGTCTGCCAGAAGGGTTCAAGCATTCTGCAGTTGATCAAATCTGTGTCGGTTCTTCTTGGTTTCCTTGCAGTTGCTGAATCCCAAAGAGCTTGTTGGTTTATTGCTGGGGCGCCTGGGTAAGACTTGGCGCCAGCTTAAAGACCTTGCAAAGCTTGGTAAGCTCAGCTCGTGATGAAACAGCCACCCCAACAGGACCGTGCCCGTTTCTCGGCAGAGCATCGGACAGACTCGGCGAACCGCACTTCTTCGTCGCGAAGGATAGACACCAACCCGTATAGCCAGTGAAACCCACCCTTCACCCCGCGGTGTCACGCAATGCTGCTTGGGGGTTCTTTCCATGGCTTCATTCTCGTTTCCCTCCATGTTTTCCGAGTTCGGAACATGCCCTCCACGGGAAACGTCGCGGAACGTTCCATAGTAGGCCGAAACCTCGACACTCGTCTCGATGGCCGAAACCGGTTCTGGGTCGAACCGAGGTGAAAGCGCCTGGGCCCTCCAACAGGAATGGCTTGAGGAACGGCGCTCGCAGGAGGCGCCGGAGCCCAGCCCCGCATGGAAAAAACGAGCCCCGTCCAGCTTGCCCAAACCAAGCCAGGCCCAAACCCCAAAACCAAGCATTTCTTGCCGACATGACACTTGCAAATGAGCGGTCAAAACTTTCCAAGCAAGATTTCGCAAACTGTTCATGCGCTTGCAAAAGGAACTTGCAAAAGAAGAGCCCATTACAAGGCTTTGAACAACGCTCAAATAGCTCTCGGCACTATGTGATCAAATCTCTGGAAATGTTTACCACCTGAAACGTCTCGCCAAAGCCAAGCCACAGCAACCAGATACTCCTGCTACACCATATGATTAAAACCCCTCCAGAAAGAAAAAGCTGCAGAAAATACGAGGTATTTCCCAAAATAATGTCATCCTTGACGGGTGCCGGGTGAGAAGGAACGGGCGACGACGGAAGTCGACTGAGCCCGATGTGGGGGGGATTTCTTGGACCTTTGACAGAAGGAAGAGCAGGGT